ATGACTTAAAGGATAAAGCTCATATCTATCTCCTTCTATAAATATCTACCAAGGGTGGATGTTGAAGAAACTTTTAGTTGGTAATTTAATTCTCATATTTTTTTAATTATCTTCAATTACATTTATTTATTTTCAAGATTATTCAATTAATCTAGTATCTAAATTCATTCATAATGAAAGTGATTTGAATAGCCGTTTAACATAATTGGACATTAAAATAAATTAACGACTATGCTCATTTATGTAATTGATTGTTATGTGCAATATTCACACTAAAAGAACTAATGTTCGTTTTTCAACACGTATTTCAACATTATAATCAATGAGTTTCTCAACTATTTAAACCTAAGGGGCATGGTTGTAAAGGTTAGGCAATCTCAAAGGAGAATGAGACACATTTTATTACCAAGTTATAAATTTATATTTATATTTTGTATAAATATGGATCAATGGTATAAATCAACAATTTCCCCGTGGTATTTATGCCTGCTTTAATAAATAATTTATGTTAGTAATAAATTTTGGTGCACGTGAGCTATCTTCTTACTATGGCCCCGTTTGGGAGGAATTTTGAGAATTGATTTTTTGACCATTAGAAAAAAGGTGGGGTCTACCTGTGAGAAAAGAAGTCAAAAATTACGATTGGATAGTGAAATAACGGTCAAAATTCAATTTTTTGGAGTAAAAAATCCCTCCCAAATAAGCTGTATGTATTGTTAAACCAAGCCGGCGGAAATGTTGGTGCACGTGAGCTGCCATTTATCTAACTGATGGAGCAGGTTGATCCTGAGCTTGATCTTAATAAGATGACGCTTAAAAATCGATTCAACAATTAGGGTCTGTTCGGTAGTTATTATGAAAATTGATTTTTTGATCGCTAGAAAGAAAAAATGGGTCCTAGTTGTGAGTAAAAAATTTAAAAATGATGGTTAGAATAGTGATATAACGGTTAGAAAATTGATTTTTTGGAGCAAAAGATTGTTACCAACCGGGGGCTTAATTAAAACTGGTTTAAACAATATAGATCGGATAATTTTAGATAGACTATTTATCGTATAATTGTCATTCCCAAACTAAATGTAAATTAATTGAATTTTTCCCACCAAAAATACAATTAAAAAGGACGAGAAAAGATAACTACGTAAGGAGTGCTAGGCTATTGGAAAATTTGTATAAAGCAATAGAGATTTCAAGAACATTGAAGAACTAGGAGAAAAGTACTGCTTTTCTTCCCTTTCACGAACAAGTAGTTTTTTTATGAGGATTTTGGAAGATTGTTTTCGTATGTACAATTTTTTATATATTAAAAATTCTGACTTCTAGTGGTTTTTCTTTGGTTGAGAGTTCTCAACATACATTCTCGTGTTCATGTTCTTGTTATTGTTCTAATGTAGAGCATACTATTGAATAGATAGAAGAAGAATTGGATCGAAATGGAGAAAAAGTAATAGTGCGGAGACGAGTAATACTCATCGCTTTGTCAAGATGTACGATGGATTTTGCCCATTTCGAGTTCATCTAATTTTTAAAGTTTTAATGCTATTTCTATCATTTATTTTATTTTTTACTCTTTTCAATTTAAATTTATTTAAATCGTGTTTTCATTAATTTTAATCATCTTAAACTAGGTTTCCATATAAACCCTTATAAATTAGGGGTTATTTCGTTATTTTGTTCATCTTTATATTAATAAAATTTTGTGAGTTTATTCCTTCATAATTTGATGGATTTCGAATTTTTAAAGTTTTTGTTTGAATTCCTTATTTCACGCTGTGTTATATTGTCTATGTCAATTTCTTTGTTCTTGTTATTTTCTTGGAGGAGTCCCGAAGGGTGTGAATAAAGAAATTTGTAAAGAGTTTGACCTTAATAAGATGATGGTTACGAATAATTTCGTCTACTTTAATTTATACTAGAGCGCTCTGTATAACTAATTAATACTGATTTATTTTGGGAGCTTAATTTATGTTTGGTTTACTGTCCCCTATAAGTAAAAAATAAATATTTATCCTGACAACTTTTGCAATATTTAAGGAATATTATATTTAACTTCCTTTACCAGTGAACTGCTATATATTTTTAAGGATCAGGATAAAGCGTGGCATAGGGAATGCAAATGATAACACGAGAATCCATGTTGAGGAAGTCGTGATTATTACAATATTTTTTTTTCCTGCCTTTCTTTACCCGACTATCGTATCCGTAAAAAACAATATTAGTTCGTAGACCAATCGCAGGAGATGTATTTGGTCAGTGAAGTGAATTATATAAATATAATTCTTTTCTTTGATCCGAATCACTTAACTCTAAGCATCACCATTGGTTGGGTAAGTAAACTGGGTTGATGTATTAGGTTGATTTCCTTTTTTGTTTTTCTTTATTGAGAGTATAATTAATGTCTTAATTTTTAAGTGTACCCCTTATTATATATAAACAAATATGAGCTACAATTAGTCAGCCCTTGTTTGAGTCTTATTCTTCCAAAAATTCATTTTTTCAAAACTCATTTTCAACCACATATTTTTCAATAAAATAATATTACACGTAAATTCAAAAATTTTCCTTAATTTTCAATTACACATTCTCCATCAATCACTATTTAAAAATGCATTATTTCACTTAAAAATGGGGCTCAAACAAGGACTCAATGCGAGAGTATATTAGAAAAATGTAAGTAATATTTATAGTTTTAACATATATTGCGCCGTCAATTGACCCCACATACATTTTTTTCTCTCCTATTTGCACAAGTTTTTCCTTTAAAAATTCTGCCTCCCAACTTTTCTCCGGCCGGAATCTTATCCTTTCATCCCAAATTTAAATTTGTCATTTTTATCAAATAATTCCATTTTCTACTTAGCTCGTCTGCCCAACCAAGTTTTTCTACACCTCAACGTCAGACGCATCAAGACCCCATGATTTGAATCACTATTTTTTTTTTGTCGATCCAACTGCTTTTATAAGTGGTAAATTTTTTAAAGATATGGAGCCAACTGTTGATTACATTTTTGTTATAGACTTAGGGTCCTTATATTGTTATCAATTTTATTGAGGTATAAGCTTAAGCTCTTGTATTATTGAGCATTTCAGCCAACTTATTTGGTAGAAATATGAGGTCATGCTTTTTGCTTAATAAACTAAATTTCTACTCTACAATTATTTAGCATTATTAGATCTTCTATCAGTTCTCTATCTAAATTATGTTTTGATTATGTCTGTCCATTATCATAAACTTAATATAAATATGTAATTTCAAACATTTGTATCGATAAGTTCCAACTTTGACCTCACTTCCAAGATAAACAATGACTTCACCTAAGATAAACAATGACTTCACCTAACTTCACGGTTTTGGATTTTATGGAATTGGAATTGATTGTTGAAATTTATTTTTTTTGTGGAACCAATTGTTTTCTATTGTGATCTAAATGGAGCATTGGAACTTCCTTTTTGCTTATTGAAATTGATTTTATTCTTATTATTAGAATTCTTTTTGAAATAGATTAGCATTTTATTTGTTGAGTTTCATGTCAAATAATTATGAAAAAATAGTTTAAATGAAAGTCTTCATTTTTTGAGTGAAGAGCAAAATATTGTGAACGAGTATTCTATAAAAATGTTGTTCGAGAGTAATTTAACTTTTGACCCCATGGTGAAGAATCTTGATATGATTGCAATATGAGATGCGATGATTATTGCATAGCTTGGAATGATGGTTGGTATTGGGAATTCAATAACATATGTATTCCCAATGACAAAAGCACTTTACAATCAAACACAAGGTGATGTAGGATATAACGGGGAAAATGTAATAGTAGAAGTAAAACATCTTAATTTTGGATTGGGCCCATAAGACCATTCCGAAAAGAGGAGGACGAGACGAACAATATTCGCTGTTATGCCGTGACATACGAATTTCGGCCATTTGAGTTTGTTTAGGACTCGAAAATTGATTTTTAAAATTTTGGCTCTATTTTTGTCATTTAGTTTATTGGGAATTTTTTTTGAATTTTAGTTTGTTTAAACTTTGTTTTCATTAATCTTAGTTGGTTTAAACTACATTTCCATGTAAACCCTCATAAATAAAGGAGTTATTTCATTTTTTGGATCATCATTAATTAATAAAATTCACAAGCTTACTTTTCTTCATAATTTGGTGGATTCCAAATTTTGTTTTCTTAAGATTTTTGCTTGAATTTCTTGTTTCATGCTACATCAACTGGTATTAGAGACAACTTTTCCATCCCTATATCTTTGATTTATAACGTGGGTAACGTACTAGTTACTAGAGCATTTTAGATGCAACAAATCGACGGATTGACGAACGAATTAACAGTTTTACTACTCAGATCGAAGAGATTCGTTAATTGTTTGTACGAGGTGCTGGAAACAATGGGCAGAATGAATAATGAGCAATCAAGAATAAACGGGTGGTTGAGCCTATAGTTCAGAAAGAAAATAATAGGTGGCGTGCAGTAGAAGACAGCGAATCAGAGTTGGAGAAGGAGTAAGTATGGATACATTTTATTACCAAATTATAAATTTATATTTATATAAATATGGATCAACGGTATAAATCAACGAAAAAGAAATTTCGTATACTTGATATCTTTCACTTTGAATAAGTAAATAAATCGCGAATATGATCCTAGGGATGGCAACGGTTCGGTTCGTCCAAAACCATCACCGAACCACCAATTTTTTGATCATACCATAACCGCACCATAACCACGAAAGTCGGTTCGGTTCGGTTTCTGTTCGTATCTCTGTTCGGCTTGGTAATAACCACGAAAATAAATTATTTTTAATTGGTCCATCCGTCGAATTAAAATGAAAACAAAAACATGATATTAAGTTAATGTAGCAAACAACATCCCAAATGAAAATGTAAAAAATATCCCAATTCTCAAACACAAAATACAAATTTAACAAACAATATTCAATAACTCAAAAAGCTCCAACCTCAATTCATATTCAATCTTCATTCTTCTTCACAACTCTTACTGGCATCCGTCAAAACTCAAAGTTGATTCCTATATAGTATATCAGAAATGTAAGTAGAGTAACAAATCAATAATCCATAATGTTCTTAACTAAATATTTAAACAAAAAAATGTACCTCTTCGTCAACATGCTCGTCATCATACTTTGCACAAGCTCCGGAATATGATGAAGGAGCAGAATTTTCTACACACAAAAGAGGAAAAAAATTAGCAATAAAAGAAAGTGCATAAATAACAAACATAAAACAATAAAGCCAATCTCGAGCACACATTAAAGCTCTAAAGTCTTCGGGTAAAGCCTATTTCTATGTGGGCTCACAAATCTACCACTTGTACTAAATGCTGACTCGGATGCAACAGTAGATACTGAAATGGCTAATAAATCTCTTGCAACATTCTGTAAAGTCGGATATTTTATTGAATTTGCTTTCTACCATGTCAATAGATCAAAATCGTCCACCCTAGGCAATACTGGCTCATCTAGAAAAACATCGAACTCTATTTTTACATGATCAGCAGTAACAGAAAGACTAATAAATGTATCAAAACCAGCCATGCGAGAATGTTTTCCACTAGTAGTAGACGACTTTGACTGTGAAGATGATGGAAACAAAGATGTATTTTCTATCGAACGATGTGGTCTCTTGTACTCTTTGAGCAACTTATGACCAAATGCTCTAATCTTTTCAACCTCTTCCTGAGCTTCATCTCCAAAAATCAAAGGAAAATAGTATTCAACTAGTTTCATCTTGTATCTAGGATTCAATATAGTTGCAATAGCTAGAATTTCATGCATGCCACTCCAATATTTATCAAACTTTTCCTTCATGCTTGACGCCATCCATTTGACTTCATCGCAAGATGATGTGCTCCAATCATGGATTGCCAACTTTATGTCACAAATATTGGAAAAGGACAAATTGGCAGTAGGATATTTTGTTCCTGAAAATAATTCAGTCACTTCATAAAATATCTCCAACTTATCACAAATCTCTGTAGCCAATTCCCAATCACTCTCACTCGGCACACTTCTGTAATGAGGCTCTCTTTGCCTTAGTCGAGGAAAAAGTTCTTTGTAAAGCAAAGCAGTATGAATCTTTAGATACATGGAGTTCCATCGAGTCTTGCAATCTAATACTAATTTTTTTCCACAAGGGATTTTCATTTGTCGTGCAACTGCCTCAAATGTTTCAACTCTTTTTGGTGTTGCTGACCAATATGAAACACTATCGCGAATTCTCTCAACACTCGGGCTAATGACATCCAAACCATCCTTTACTATCAGGTTCAATATGTGTGCACAACACCGCAAGTGGAAAAATTCACCATTCAACAATAAAGAACCAAGAGAAAGCTTATCTAACATAATGTTAATCATAGCGTCATTCGTGGTGCAATTATCAACAGTCAATGTAGACAATTTTTGATCAATATTCCAATCAAATAGACAATCCATTAACACAGTAGACAGTGACTCAGTAGTGTGGGGACAAGGGACATATATAAATCTGTATGGATATGAAAAAAAGTTCGTAAGATAACTTAAAATTTCAGAAAATACGATAGTAGCTTAAAGGCTATTTTATAAAACTATTGTACCTCAAAATTCGGCTCTGAAGCCTCCAAGAATCATCTATGTAATGTGCAGTGATAGCCATAAATCCCTTCTTTTGATTGGATGTCCACATATCAGTGGTGACTGCTATTCTACTATTGGTCCTCTCTAACAAGCCCATTACTTTTGTTCTCTCATAATCATAAATTTTCAAGATATCAGCCTTGATGGTATTATGAGAAACAACTTTAAATAATGGTTGAATTATATTACAAAACTTTCTAAACCCAGTATGCTCAACCATTGAAAGAGGATATTCGTGTAGGATGATCATATTTGCAAGTTCCGTTCTACCTTTCTCTTGATCAAAATTAAATGCTCCCATTGCAATCCTACCACCAGGTTCTTTAAATTGATTCAAAAACATCTGTTTGACATCCTTCTGACCTTGAAGAGGACATCTATTTAAATGAGCATGTAAATGACTTGTCCCATTTTTCGACTCACCCCCTAACTGTTTGTTGCATTGTCTGCAAATTGCTTTGGACACATTATTAATTCTTTGTAGCTTAAAATGCTGCCACACTGAAGAGGTCAATTTTCTTTTTCTATTTTCCTCAGTCATCTCCTCATCATCACCTAAATCTATATAAATAGGATTTGCATTTACCTCACTTGGACTTTGTGAAGTAATTGGTGTACTTGTTGATGTATCTCCAACTTGAATTGAAGCAGAAGCACTTCCAATTGAAGCGGGGGGAGTAGGAAAGGAAGATTCTGACCCCTGGCAAGATATGTAATTTCAAAAATAAAAATAAAATCAACAAACTCAAAAACTTAGGCATTCATTAATTTCATTAGGTGAAAAATTTACAAAAGTGGAATGCTAAACGATAGAGAAATAACTTACTCCAATTTACAATAAAACTTATCATTCAAGGAAATTTACAGTAAAACTTACTCCAACTCAAACAGAATTAACTAAAATGGAATGCTAAACGATAGAGAAATAAAAAAAGATGTAGTTTATTTGTTGCACCCCACTTTAGGGATATGATAGAGTATAAATTATCATTAGTTGATTACTAAGGAATTGTCAATTACCTCCTAATACATGGTCTCCTGACCTTTATAACCAATATGAATAATCTTAAAAACTTGTGTCCAAACAACGTCAAGGACGAGAAAGTAAGGCTTATTTCCAAAGTTGTGGCCAAAGAACATTTAGATAACCAAGAATTTGTAGTGATAGTAACTGTAAAACTAGCGACCAGATTAGCAGAACTAAAAAAAGCAAATTGATGTCAATGCATTCAAACTCACTGGACAATGTACACTAGGAAGTTGAGGTTATCTGAAATGCTTGTGATTATAGCAGTAATTTATATTAACTACTTAGAAAACAAAGCCTGACTTCTTTCAATCATTTCATCAAACACTTTCTTTGCAAAACCCATTTTCCCCAATGTCCCATAATACTAATGCAGTGAATTAAATCCATACTTCAACATGGGCGTGCACTTCAGTTCCTTCAAATACAGAAAAACTCAAGCCACAACACCAACATTTCGCAAGAGTATTTAACTATTTCTCTCGTGTGAAGCAACTTGCAATCAGCTAATCACATACAAGATGATTTAGTTACAACTCACTGGGCACCACATTCAATCAGAACACAAATGAATGTGGAACAGCCGAACAGAGAACAAGAAACGAGCTTTTTAAATTTTGGTCTTGCAAAACAGCGAAAGCAGAAGAAGATGATTCAGTTACCTCAAATAGTGGTAAAACTGTAGGAGTAGTGAAGCTCGTGGCTGTGTGCGTTTTTGTAGTAGGGTGAACCGGTGATGTCGTGAAGATAACTGTCTGGAGGTGATGAGGCGTTAGACGTGGAGCTGTGGTTGCCGGCTGCGTGAGTTCATGGTCTGTGAGTGTGATTTCACTGATTTGTGAAGTAAAGAGTAGGGTTTACGTCTCATGACTCATATACCCGATTTTATTATTCTATATTTCTATAATTTCTATTACTATAATAATATAATACTATGGGTTATGGTAACTGGGCTGTGGGTAGTTGGGCTGGACGGCTAGGTGTAGTAAATGTATTGAGCAGAATTTTATTTTGGGCTGGATAAAAATAGTGGAAAGTCCAATAACCAATTGCTCAATTATTATTATTATTTTTTTTACGGGTAATCGGTTCGATTTCGGGGTAAGGGCGTAAATACCATACCCGCCCCGCCTCATAGCGGTTCAGCAATATCAAATACCATACCCGCCCCATTACACCATTCGTTCGATTTTTTTCGCCCCATTCGGTTCGGTTAACCACGGTTTTCGGTTTTGACAATCCGGATTACCATCCCTATATGATCCAAGTAATAAATGCCAAATTTTCCTCGTGTTATTTATGCCTGCTTCTATAAATAATTTTTGTTAGTAATAAATTTTATAGAAAATCAAAGACCTATATCTTACTATGTATTGTCAAACCAAGTCGGTGGAATGTTGGTGCAGATGAGCTGGCATGTGAAATGTAAATTTATTTCACTGATGGAGCAGGTTGATCCTGACTCCTGAGTTTGATTTTAATAAGATGATGCTTATGAATATAGTTGTAATGCTCGAGATCTTTTTCATTATTATTATTATTTTTAAATAAAATCACTCGATGTTATCAACATTTTCTTTGTATAATGTACACAGAAATATCACTTTCATTAAGCGTTGAAAATGCATAAAAATAGCTATTAAACAATTTGCACAAAATTTAATATGAAGATATTCTCCAAGTAAAAGTTTGACCATTACCTTTTCTAGAAAATTTACTTGGTGATCCCATAAGCATCACTCGGTCAATTCGTTATGCGTTCACACGACCCGTTCTAATATGAAATTTTAGTAAGAGTGAGTATTTTGAAAACACTCGGTAAGAATACATACGCATTCTTATTCACGTGATATAAGCATGAGTTTGACATAACATACCGACATTTTTTGGGTTTAGAGCTCAAGGAATTTCTTAAAAATCCCCATATCCCATAGGAATTAACATCTTTGACCAAACGGTCCATCCCGTAGGATTTAACATCTTTGACCTAAAGGTTTATCCCGAAGGATTTAACATAGAGTTCGACCCGAAGACCTCATAGCATTTTATGTCAACAATTATACAAACGTCAAGGAATAAGAATTTACCACTTTGCACGATGTATTCTTACCTCGATTGATATGAAAAATTCTAAAATATGAGTTGAGATTGATGGACAAAATGAAATGTGTATAAGTATGAAAATGGAAAAAATGACGTCCATTTATATAAAATTCTCACGGTAAATTAAATCAATAATTTCATATATTAAGAACTATATTAATTAGTTATTGTTAATGGGATAATTATGTTTTATCAATTATAATGTATTACAACCCTTTCATATCTCAAATTCCAACGCATGCCATTACTTTCATTTTATTATTTTATTATTATTTACATCTTGATTTTATTAATAAAATATATAAATCTAGACTACTTTATATCAACATAACTCGGGTATAACTAATTTAAAAATATTTCTTCTTAAGGCAATTTATGTTATTTAATACGAGGTACAAAATGAGTATAATATTGATATGTTTTTTTTTTTTTTTTTTTTTTTTTATAAACTTCTAAATATTTTAATATTGGACCCAACTAACTTTTGATAAAATTTTAAAAGTAAATGTAAGCAAATAAATCATTTATGCAAATGAGTAGGTCGAGTTTGTCACTTTAACTTTTGAACTCTAGTGTGACAACAAGGATATGTATAGAGTATTTCATTTGCTAGATAACCATTATTAAATTTAGGTCCATATGAAAAATAGTAGGAAAAATTCAAGGTGTTACATCCTTTCCTTCTTAAATTAATTTCGTCCTCGAAATTATCTTATTTAGTTGAAAAGCTCTGATATTTCTAGTGTTCTGATAAGTTTGAGCCATGCATATGACATAAATAAATGTTCAATTATACTTTATCTTTGTTAGTGATAACAAATTATAAATTTTGTTCTTGCACTTTTCATATAATGACTAATCATCAAACTTGCATAACATAATTCATTCTAAACATTATAAGCATTTCTTGAAATCAAGCTTAAATTATTCATTTATCATTCTTGAAAATAAAATGAAACATAATATTTCATCCATACCTTGGGTTCATTGAACGGTCGTAGAGTGACGAGCGCTAAATGTCATGGGTCTTATTTTAATACTTGTTTTAATGAAAACTTTATGCAAGCAAGATAAAGAAGTAGACATGTATTGACCATAATTAGAAATCAATTTTTTTCATCTCTTTTTGCGCAATTGCAAGCTAAATAAATCAGGATAACAAAAAGTAAGTGCAATTTTCAATGATCAAGATTTCTTTTCAGATGTTTGCAGTTCAATAATCATTTATGCAATATCTGACCAGTTAAAAAAAAAAAAATTAATCCCTGAAGGTACCAAAGTACACTAATAAAGGTGACTACAAGAAAGACCATTTTTTTTACCCTGCAATTTAGCTTCTTTTAAATTTTAATTTTATTATTACAAGGAAATTAAACATTTAAATGGTTTATTCAAGTAAATTATAGTAATTTCACAATCGAAACAAAAATTATATATTTATTTTTCATGCAAACCACTAAGCCATTTATCATTCTAAGAAAAAATAATTTATACATGTAAATCACATTCGATCATGATGAATAAATATGCATACTTTTTTATAAAAAAAATGACGAGTCTACAGAATCGACTGAACTCGAGCTCTGATACCATTCACTTCTCAACAAAGAGACCAATCCCCCTTTTCATATTCTGCCACCAAAAAGGTATCGCGGAGGTCTCAATACATTTTAGTACCACCCAATTAACTAGAAAGGGTGTAAAATTTCAGTGGACTGAGAAATGTGAGGAGAGCTTCCAAGAACTGAAACAGAAACTGGTTATAGCTCCAGTTTTAGCTATATCAGAGGGTTCAGATGGATTCGTTATATCCAGTGATGCATCCAAACAAGGTTTGGGATGTGTATTGATGCAGTTTGGGAAGGTGATCGCATATGCCTCTGGACAATTAAAACAACATGAGCAAAACTACCCTACGCATGATCTAGAGTTGGCAGCGGTAGTACACACTCTAAAGATATGGCGTCACTACCTTTACGGGGGGAAGTGCGAAATCTATACAGATCATAAGAGTTTGAAATACTTCTTCACTCAAAAGGATCTGAATATGAGACAAAGAAGGTGGCTAGAGTTAGTTAAGGATTATGATTGCACTATCTATTACCATCCGCATAAAGCTAATGTAGTCGCAGATGCTCTTAGTAGGAAGACAGTAGGACAACTAACTGCCTTACCCATAACTCAAGTGCAGTTGATAAAGGAGTTTGATAAATTGAAATTGGAAGTTGTCATTCCACCAACTTAAGTTACCGCAAAAATTTTAGCATTTAAGATACAACCTACCCTTAGGGAACGAATCAAGGATGCTCAAGACAATGATCCATTCTTAAGAAAAATCAAGGCGGAAGTTTGTACGACTAAAAGAAAAGGTTTTGCAATAGTGGAGGACAATACTTTGGTATTCGAGGGAAGATTATGTGTATCAAAGGATGAAGGAATAAGAAAAGAAATATTAGAGGAAGCTCACTATGCCCCGTATGCTGCATATCTCGGTGGTACTAAAATGTATCGAGACCTCCGTGATACCTTTTGGTGGCGGAATATGAAAAGGGAGATTGGTCTCTTTGTTGAGAATTGTATGGTACGTCAGCAAGTTAAAGCAGAACATCAAAGGCCATCGGGACCATTAAATCCATTGGAAATTCCAGAGTGGAATGGGAGCAAATAGCCATGGATTTTGTAGTAGGTTTTTCGAAGTCAATGAAAGGACACGATGCCATCTGGGTAATTGTAGACAGGTTGACAAAGTCCGCTCATTTCCTTCCAATAAGAATGAACTATAGTATGGATCAATTTGCTCAATTATATGTTAAGGAAATTTTCAGACTGCATGGAATTCCAACATCCATCGTCTCAGATCGAGACCCAAGATTTACTTCTAAATTTTGGAAGAGCATGCAGGGAGCTATGGGGACAAAGTTAAATTTCAGCACTGCCTACCATCCTCAATTTGATGGACAGTCTGAAAGGATTATTTGAATCTTAGAAGACATGCTCCGAGCATGTGTCTTAGATTTGGGAGGTAGTTGGGAGTCACATCTATCATTAGTGGAGTTTGCATACAATAATAGCTTCCAGACTACTATTGGCATGGCTCCTTATGAAGCTCTCTATGGTAGAAGATGTAGATTCCTAGTTCATTGGGATGAAGTCGGAGAAAATGAATTTTGGGTTCAGAGATTATTGCAAGGACAGTGCAAGCAATTGATAAAATTAGAGACAGAATAAAGTTTGCTCAAAATAGACAGAAGAGCTATGCAGATCAACGGAGAAAATCGATAGAATTTGAAGTCGGTGAGAAAGTGTTTCTAAAAGTGGCACCCATAAAAGGTGTTCTTAGATTTGGCAAGAAGGGAAAGTTGAGGCCTCGACTCATAGGTCCTTTCAAAATTCTAGGTGGAATTGGGAATGTAGCGTACCGTCTAGCATTGCCACCTGGACTATCAGCAGTACATAATGTATTCCACGTGTCGATGCTTAGAAAGTATGTGCATGATCCCGAACATGTGATAAGCTATGATTCATTGGAGGTACAGAAAGATCTAACGTATGAAGAGACTCCTTTGGAGATTATCGAAAGGAAAACACATGCATTAAGAAATAAAGAAATTGCTTTAGTTAAAGTTCAATGGAAAAATCATGGAGTCGAAGAGGCTACTTGGGAAAAAGAAGAAGAAATAAAAGCCAAGTAGCCAGAGCTATTCGGCTAAATAAGGTAATTTCGAGGACGAAATTATTTTAAGAGGGGTAAAGATGTAACACTCCGAATTTTAAATTTTTCCACGTGGGCTGATAATTTAACAAATAAAATAATCCATGTCCAATATTGTCGCCACACTAAAGTCGAAAAGTTGAAGTGATAAACACGTTCCACTTATTTGCATAAATGGTTTATTTCGCAAACGTATACTTTTTGGGTCGAATATTTAAGTATTTTTGAAGTTGACGAAATATATCAAATATTACACTCATTTTGTAGCTCGTATTAAATAATATAATTTGGGTTCAAGAAAAAGTAATTTTGGATTAGTCCTGTCCGAGTTATTCTAATAAAAAGAAAAGTGTTAACC